CACTTTAATGAGAGTGTGGTTTATTTCCTGGCACTGACTTTGTTTGATGGTACAGATAGCGAGGCTTTGCTTTTGCACAACAGCTGTCAAAAAAAAGCCATTTTGCATTCTCAAACATCTCTATCCTTCCAATAATGTCCAAGATACACTTCTGGAGAAGATTGAGTTTCTGGGAGGAAAAGCAGAGATGGATGTGGAGAAGAAGAAGGGAACTTGACTTGTTTTCTTACGCCGATGCTCCATTCAGTTGTTTCCTGTTTTGGCAGTGAGTACATGGCTACAAAACAGCAGAAGTAGAATGTTCCTGCCAGCAGCTCTGAACTTCTGTTATGGGTCATAAATTTCAAGGACAAGCTATATTTTGAACTTACTGAAATTTGAGAAGTCTCATGTAATTCTTTAACCTGATACTAGAGTTTAGCTCTTTGATTTCCCCGTGTCGCAACATTCATAAGAACGAGAACTGAAAAATCAGTTTCTGCCCATTGCAGATGACACTGAGGCAATCTGAGAATCTGAGCAGCTGAACTGTGCAGTGTTGCTGTGGTTATTGACAGCAGTGCCCTCCTCCTGGGAACAGGCTAAATAAATGCACTGGTGAAGTTTGGAAGTGGCACAAGGCTGTGGCTTTCTCCCTTCTGGAAGGCCAGCCGAGCCCTGAGAGCCGTGCAGGTGTTGAGGTGAGCATTCACAGCGTGCAGTTCCCTCCCTGCTCAAGTGGTGCAATAAAGGACTGCAGGGTTGCTGGCAGGAGCCTCTCCAGGGAGGCGTGTTGGAGCTGCTCAGTGGTGAGAGGCAGTCTGCAATACCTGCTAGCTGTGACAAATACGGCCCTGGGAAAAACGAGCCCACTTTGCCACGCGTTGATATGATTTAATGAGGCAGTCGTGGGCAGTTTGCATTCCCTGGGGGTTATTTCCGTGCTCCCTGCAGCTGCCTGGTGTCACAAACCTCTGAGGCCACCGGCGCTCCCGCTGCCCAGGCGCTGCTGAATTTGCAGGGGGCTTTCTAGGAAACCCTGTTGCAAGTCTGTGATTTCTTATTTATTTATTTGAACCTCGTGTAATTGTGGTGTTGAACTTTAAACAAGCCTGTCCTTCCCTCTCTGTGCTGCTCGACCTCAGGAGGAAGCTTCATATAACAGGCAACTGGTTTCTTTTGGGGTTTTTTTGAAGGAGATTAGTAAGCAAATCAATACTACCGTATCTTAGTTGAAAGCAAAACTAGGAGACCAGAAAAAATGTTTTTAAAAGGTATTAAAATCCACATTTTTTTCACTTAGCTGGCTAAAATTCTGCAGCTGCTTGTTAAGATTTATGTTGTGTGATGTGATGCAAGTGTCTGTTCATTTATCTGATTTTTAGATGACCTTCCTCATACGTACAAGTTACATCCTCATTTCTTGTTCTTCCCGAAATACCCTGATGTAAAGCTTAATGTAGGCTAAGAAATCAAATCTTCCCTGTCAAAGTGGGTTACATGAACAGCTATGTACTTTATATCTTCGTGAAGTTCTTTGTTGGGAAGTGAGTTCAGGGCCTCAGTTGCTCTCTCCCATGCTGAATCTGAACACCTTTTCCCGTTTATGTAAAGTGGGTGTTTGCTGTGGATCTCTTGGTACTTGCTGGTTTTCTTGTGATCTTCTCTCTCTTCTCTACAAGTCTTTACAACCTCATTGGATTGTAGGGGTATTTCCATTCTGAAACCAGCCTGAGTGGCATCTTGGGGAAAGAGCACCTTCCACCTGACTTTATTTAACCTTTTTACTCTTCCACCTTTTCCAGCAGTATCATGTGGCATCATTTTTTGCCAGTGGCAGCTTTAAGAGAAAATCTGTTTTTTAAGCTAAGATTACTTTTTTATATAAGTCTTTATATATAATTTTTGTGAAGTGCTGTCCTCAGCGTGAGTGCCTCAGTAGATGGATTAGGAGCAATTCTGTAGCACCTGATAAGATCTTGGCATTTGCTGCTTCCCATAGGAGCAGAACTGCTAAAATGACAGTAAATTGTTATCTCTGAGTCTAATCTGCTCCAGGGTTTATGGTGCAATTAAACAGTGTGATCAAATTGGGCCCTGCTGCAAGGCTTCCTGGGAGTCTGGTGAAGCTGAAGACATTGAGACTGCACCTTTAGTTTCTGTTCAAAATACTGATCAAGAAATTACACAGTGTGCTTGAATGGCTGATGTTAATGGCCACCTCTTCCTATGGTCTTACATAACATTTACTTGAAGATTTTGGGGTGCATCTTCTCTTTCTGAATCTCCTGCTGGCATCTGAAGAGGATGGGGAAAGTGAAGCCCAGTGTCTGCTGTGCTCAGAGCTACAGGAACTTCCCGTTTGAAGAACAGGGCTTCAGCAGACTTCCTCTTTCCACCCCTGAAATATTTGGGGGACAGGGCTTAAAATCAGGAGATGAGTGGCATGAAGTGACTCATGCTCCAAACCCAGAGCATTTGACTTTGGAAAACTGACTTCACGTCTAGCCCTTCCTCTTTAAAGTTTTGTATTGCACGACCTTTGAAATGAAATGTCGAGCTTCCTTTTTGACAGGCAGGATCTCTGCAGTGTGACTGGGTGTGATTCAGGAGGTGTTTTGTAACTTCATGAATCCCTGCCTTCATCCCCTACCTTCAGTTCTCGTGACACTGCTGGCTTCAAGTTCCTCAGAGCAGTAATTCTGTGCTGTGAATGAGTGACTTCTCCAGCGTGGGGACCTCGTGGTGCTGTTCTGAGCACGTTCTGGACCTACCTAGCAGCAGCTGAGTGGTGTCAGCAACGATGTGACTGCAGCAGGGACCAGGACCAGCAGTGGCCACACAGCTCCTGTGGGCACTGGCTTGTTCCTCTCCAGCCATGTTCTCTGTTGAAGGCAATTGCATTTCCACTAAAGTCAACTTCATATCCTGGAAGTGACCTTGGGCGATAACTTTCCTTTGGTCACTTTAGATGTTCTAGCAACTTCTGTATCCAAAAAATAAAAACCCAACCAAAACTCCAAACCACTGTCCTGCCACGTTGCTGAGGAGAGTATGCCCTGTGTGATGTGCAGGCATGCCTGCTCCCCAGGATTTTCTGTTTTCCCATTTCCTCAGCCAGGCATGGAGTGCTGGGTGCTGGCTGGCTTTTCCCACCAGGCAGCAGCTTGCCTGTTGCCGTGCCTCCATCCCTCTTTTGTTACCATCCCACCCCAGGGTTTTTCCTGCCTCTTGAAACACGCTCCAGAAATACACTGCTGTTTTTAAATAGTCTGCTGAAGGCACACGAGTGACTTGTGTCTTCCATTTTCTCTGTGCCTGTGGGAGTTCAGTATCTCCAGAACTCCATTATTCTCCAAGCACCTTTAGGCAGTGTGGCATCTTGAAAAAATCTGATATTTGCTGGTGAGGTAATAGCCAGCTCTCCATTCCCTGCGTAATAAATTGCAGGGAATTTCAGTTCCTGAAATACTTGATGTTGCTGTTGGAATCTGTGGAGCTCCTGGGGACTGGCAGTGGTTTGTGTGTGCACATACATGTGGATGCTTCAGTGTAATATTTTTGTATTAGAGTTCCTTCATATAATTCCATTTTGTAAAGAAGCACTTGATCCACTTACTTCTAAAAGAGGGGACAGTTTTTTATCAAATCTGTTAATGCTGTGAAATGAAACTGTGTATTAGTGCTGCTGCTAAAATAGCCCAGTATTTACAGAAAAATTCCTTAGGGATCTTGGTTTGGTTTGCATTTTGATGCTTTTATAATATGAATCCTGAGTGGGGGAGTTGTGTTGGTATTGGGTGTTAGGGATTTTCAACACACATTTGAGAAATGTGGTTAGTGACCTAGAAAACCATTTTTCCTAATTCCTTGGAACATTTTTTCTCTTTTTTTCCTTTTTTTCTCTTGTTGATCCTGTACAGTCAGTATGGAAGAATAAATCCCTGTAAAGTACAAAGTCACCAACCTGGTGTCAGAGACAAGTTTCTGAAAACCCCCATTTTAGCTGCCTCATGTTTGAGATATTAGACTGTTGCAGTCCAGATCATATTCTCCAGACTGCATTCTTCATAAGCAGAAATACTGGCAGCCATGTGTTCAGTTATAAAAAGCTGGCAGCTGATGTCAGCCCTTATTTCAGTTTTGGAATACTGTGCTAATTTTGGGCAGGTTTATGGAAATCAGAACTCTTCTCCTGACATGTAGCATTCAGGGTAAATTGGTCCATACCTGAATAATGCAGCACAAGAGATAAACAGGTAATGTGCTGCAGTAGATGGCCCACTTGAAAAAAATCTTGAGTGTTGTACACGATTCTTTATATGCAGAACTCTGCTTGCACAGTATTCATTATGTGAAATTCTGTTTCAGCAAATTTGGACTAATGTCCAAGGACAGCAGAATTGTTTTTATTTTAACTTCTGGAATTGTCTCTATTATCTGCATCTGAAAAGGCCTGAGAGAGCCCTGGTGCTGTGTTTGGGGGGTGCATCTGTTTTAGCTGAGCACGGGAACTGAGTGCAGCTGACTGTGACATCGTGCTGGCAGCTCAGGAAGTGATGGAAGTGGTCTTAGAGAAATCACCTCTGTGTGTGTGATGCCAAGGGGGATAGAAAAGTTCTTTTCTACCACAATGAATGTTTTCAGTGCTGCTGAGTCAGAGACAGGGTTGATATTTTCGCTGATGCTGCAAACAAGGGCTTAAAGCAGTTTATGTAGAAGTGCTTTGGGGCAGAGACCCTGCTCCTTCAGGAGCTGAACCTACCTTTCATAATGTCTGGTGAATGTTGTGCTGCTTTATTATCCAAACGAATAATATTTTAATAAGTTATGTTAGTGCTGTATTCTGAGAAATTTAAACTTTATTCTTTGTTCTGAGGCCCAATGTGCTTTGTGTCCAGAATTTCCTCACATGAAGATGTGAAGTCAAATGGGTATTTGTCTTAAAATAGCTAATGGTATGAAATTAGATGGATTCATACATAACAGGGTCTTTGGTTGTATTTTTTTTTTCGTTTCAGGACATCAGGCATGAAGCCAGTGATTTTCCATGTAAAGTGGCCAAACATCCCAGAAACAAAAATAGAAATAGGTACAGAGATGTCAGCCCCTGTAAGTACACTTTCTTTTCCATTGTTTATAAGACTGTTGACCTCTTGTGACTTCTCACAGCTAAATGTTCTTTGTAAGGACAAGATTCTGTTAGGTGGATAAGCACCCAAGACAACTCTTTTTGATTATATTTATTTATTTATTTGTAAGACTGGTGTCACAGGATGCTTTTATATCCATAGGGTTACACAAGAGCAGCACGCAGTAGGGTCTGTATCTGTGGGCAGAAATCTGAAGAAAGAAACTTGCTTTACCTTTGAGTTCTTCGGCTGCTGTCCCAGGCCAGAGTGCTGCTCTGTGGCACACAGCTTCTGGCTCCCTGCAGAAAAGCTCCTAAAGCCTTTGGGACAGTTAACCAGAACAGTAATGTTGCACATAGTTTGCTTTACTAAGCAGTTCTAATATTTGAGGATGTGAGTAACAAATTCCTTCTTGCCTTTAGATAATCCTCTTCTCAGTCTGTTTGCTTTCTTGCAAAATGTGGGAACCCCTGGGTGTGTTGAGTTTTTTTAGTTGGTGGTTTGGTTTCTGTAGTCCCAAGTTGAGCAAGTGACTAACAAAAGAGCAAATCATTTACATTTGCTGTATTTCTTTAATTTTGATCATTTATTTCTGTACATTAAAGGGTGGTTAGGTTGGGAACAGTAGCTAAATACCTACAAGAATAAAAGGTCTCTGTCCTGTTTGCCCAATATATGTTTAGACAAACCTTTAACGACCTTGAACAAGCTGTATTTGAATGTTTAAGCTGGAAAGACAAGCAATTGTGTAATTGGATTTAATTAAAACCAGCAACTTGATAACTGTATGGATAGGTCAGTGTGATCTGGTTTGCAGATCTCACTGCATTTTTTCAGATTATTTCAGATGCCAAGGCCTGACTCTTGCTGTGTGTTTTTGGGAGGTGAAGTGTGGGCTGTGCTCCCCCAGCTGCTGAGGATGAGCCTGGACTGTGCTCTGTTCCACGTTCATTAACCAGTGTTTTCTAATTGTGCTGCAGTTGATCACAGTCGAATTAAGCTAAACCAAGGTGACAATGACTATATCAATGCTAGTTTGATAAAAATGGAAGAGGCCCAAAGGAGCTACATCCTTACCCAGGTAATTGCTGGCAGTGGATAATTAAAATCTTATGATGGCTGGAGTTGTTTTTCATGGATTTTCTGTTTGTTTTCTTCATCGTAAAGCTACTTAAGTGCATACAAACATCTGTGTGTGTGTAAAAATCACTGCTTTTTAACTGAACCTGTCAATTCCACACCTAGCTGTATGGCAAATTTAAAAGTACCCACATGCCCTGTTGTCTTATTCTGAGAGCAGCAACCGTGCCAGGCTTCTTGTTTGTGCTAAATGTTCAGTTCCCTGGAGACTGTCCTGATCTCTAATCTTGGCTCTTTTTTTACCCCTTCCTCCCACACTTTAGATAAAGGTAGACTGGGATTAATATTTTCAAGTGACAGCTCTTCCTTCCTGTTTCTAAAGAACAGAGATAAATCTCCTCAGGAAGAACTGGGCAGAGCAGTGTGCAGGGTAGAAATGGCTCTTTGAACACAGCTGCTCTTGCCCTTCCTCAGGACAGGGGGTTGATCACAGGGTGAGTTCTGTGGGGAATAGTCAAATGTGCAGATATTGGTTACTGGTTACTGTCCTGATCCACGTTTAATGGCTTTGGATGGCTTTATTTAAATCCTCTCATTCTTCCTGAGGACCTGCTCTTCTGTTTGAGCACAGGAGTGGAGCAAACCCAAACTTCAGAGTAGAAAATAGCAAAGGAACATAGCAGAAGTAGAAAATTATAAGGAAATCTACTTTGGGAATAGATAGTCTTTAAAAGAAGTCATTATTTCATTCAGTCCCAAAGCAAATCTGTGAAGATTCTGGAAAACCATATAATTTGTTACTGATTTTGCATCCTTTCAGTCGTTTGGAGGTTTTAGTCAAGTAATTTTCAAGTATCATGAATAAGGATGAGGGATTGCAGAGCAGTTTGACACAGATGTTATTTTTGCTTTTAGTCAGTGGAGTTTATTTCCCCATGACCTCTGTATATCTTTCTTAAGAAAGTGCAGCATTTTTCACTCCCAGTTCTGTTCTCACAAATGAGATTGTGTCTCTCTTCCTCTTAGGTATCAGGGGAAAGGATTAACCATGCTTTCGTGGGCAGATTCATAGCATGGAACTTAAAGCTGTCTCACTACATTTTTACAGTTTTAAATGAGAAGTTGTTTGTTACTTGTTTAAATCTATTGCCTTGTGCAGGGACTGTTACTGGGGAAGAATGCACTGACATTTACAGAAAATAATGCTTATTTCTGGGGATTTCTGTCTCTGCAGGGACCTTTGCCAAATACTTGTGGCCACTTCTGGGAGATGGTTTGGGAACAGAAAAGCCGTGGTGTTGTCATGTTGAACAGAGTGATGGAGAAGGGATCCGTAAGTACTCACACAGCTCTAGCTATGTGTTCATCACATTTGTGCTTTTCTGTACTAAAAAACCCAAGTAAAACCAGCCCAGAGAATGGGATGGGATGTCTACAAGTAGTTTTGTCTAAGAAATTGTACCTGGAATCGAATACTTGGTGAACTGATCTAACTGCAGTCAGAAAATCACTCAGTTTGTAATTGTAGGGCCTAATTTCTCATGAATTTGGCTGAAAAAAACATAAACACAGCATGACTCCACACAAATGGAAGTCTCTGCTGCTGAGCAGGGGGTCTGGAGTGGTTCTCAGTGTGCACAGGTTGCACCTCTCGGGGCTCTGCAGTGTCAGGTGGCTTTGCAGTAGAGAGAAGCTCTGGGGCTCCAGGTGTCCACCACACACTGAGCTCTGATCACACAGTGGCCCCCGAGGCTCCCTGTCCCCTCCAGTGTCACTGCTGTGCAGAATCAAGTGTAATACTGCAGGAAGACTGTGCAGTGTATCGGCATCCAGCAGTGATCACTGGGTGGTACGTGCTTTTGCATCACCAGGAAAACATGCCCAATAATCAGGAAAATTCTTGGGCAATGAGCTGTCTTTTAATAAACTGCAGTCTGGATTTTCCAGTGTTTTGCTGGGTTTTGTACTACAAGTGAAATTTAATCTTCAAAAGAGATGCGGTAACCAAATTTTTCAATAGTTTCTTCCTTTCCAACCATTCCTGCTCCCTCTCTGCACTGCTCTAGTTTTGAACAAAACAAATTACTGTGATCCCTTAGGGCAGTGCTTACACTCCTCAGCAAGCAGCAGTGGGAGATTTAGAGTGGAGCATGACAAAATACTGTTTGCAGACACATTTGTGGAGAAATTAGGCACAAAGGCAATTGCTATAACTCTTACAAATCCAGACAAAAAGTGCAGATAATTATAACTGCATTCTACACCCTGATAAACAAGAGGATGTCTTTTCAAAATAAACTAGAATTAGTTTGAGCAAAACCACTGTTAGTCTACCTATGAAGAAGATGCTGAGCAAAACCACTGTTAGTCTACCTATGAAGAAGATGCTGAAGGGGTTTTCTGTTTATTAAAATGCTGTCCAAATCATCTTAGTCTTGAGCCTGCTGTTGGTTTAGCATTGTTCTTCCACTTTTGCTTTGGCCACATGATTTGTCCTTTAACAAAAGAGGCCTGAGCCATGTGCAGAGCCTCGGAGAGGGGAGGTGATCCCGATCCCAGGGAAAGGAGTGGCTCAGGGGCAGCAGGAGGAGGCCAATTCTCCCAGGCACGGGATCCCCACATTCCATTGTCACAAGCTTGGGTGCAGGCTTTCCTTTTCTTGCTGCTGATGAGGATTTTAGTTCCAGGTTTTTCCTGCACGCTTGAAAATGTGCTGCTTTCCTATTTGGTTGGCTCATTAAAGTCCTTGGCATGCAGCAGTCTCTGCAGAGCTCATCTCTCTGGGAGACCTCAATAAGAAAATTGCAATTCAGGCAGAAGTGGGTAATGACATTTATGTGTGTCCTGCTTGGTTTTAGGTAAAGTGTGCACAGTACTGGCCAAGGAAGGAAGAGAAAGAAATGTTTTTTGAAGATACAAACTTGAAACTAACATTGATATCTGAAGATATCAAATCCTACTACACAGTACGACAGCTGGAATTGGAAAACCTGACCGTGAGTAGCGGATCTCATCCAGTCCTTGTTCTCCTTGGCCTGGAATTCATCTCCTCACTAAAAAGGGCTTGAAATTGGCAGTCATGAATTGTCCTGGATTTGATGATCCTGCATGACATGTTGTGGAAATGAAACTCTTGGGTATTTATGGGGGGACCCTCCAGGCAGTTTCATGTCTCAGCCATACCTGGAGTGACACTAGCTTTTGAACTGTACTGAAATAACTAAACTCGAAATAAGTAAATTTACTTACCCAATTCCCTTTGCTCCCAGTGGAGCCCTTCACAACAAGGCACCATTACTTGTAATTACTGTCTTGGCTGTGCAGCTCTAAAAGCTCCCTCAGACTGGTGAAGCTTTGTCCTTGGAATTTAATCAGCCATTCCCAGTCCTTCTGACCGGTGTGCCCAAACTGAAGAGTTCCCAAACGCTGTTTCTGCAGAGCCAGGAAACTCGGGAGATTCTGCACTTTCACTACACCACCTGGCCCGACTTCGGGGTGCCGGAGTCGCCGGCGTCGTTCCTGAATTTCCTGTTCAAGGTGCGGGAGTCGGGCTCGCTGAGCCCCGGGCACGGCCCGGTCGTGGTGCACTGCAGCGCTGGCATCGGGAGGTCGGGCACCTTCTGCCTGGTGGACACCTGCCTGCTGCTGGTAAGGACCACTGCTCAGAGCCCCTGCCGGGCACAGGGCAGGGCTGGGAGCGCTCCCCGTGTCCGGCTCTGCTTTGCCCCGCTGTTCCAGCAGCGCGCTCCAGGCAGGCCTCGCTCCTGAGCGCTCATTCTGCGTCTGGGGAAGGGAAGTCCCCAGTTTCCAGAGTGATTCACAAAGGCAGGCTTTGCCTTCAGGGAAAGCAGCGTATTTGAGGCCCAGTGTTTTCCCTTCAGTTGTTTTGGAGACCAGTAATGAGCTGCTGATACCAGCTGTGTGTGTTTGTTCGTGCTGTAGTGTGGAGGGTGGTATGAAGGCCCTACCACAAAATGAGTCACTTTAGTGAACCTCGTCAGAGCAGAAAATGTTTCACATTTTTATCTGCAGATGGATAAACGGAAAGATCCTTCTTCCGTGGACGTCAAGCAGGTTCTCCTGGAAATGAGGAAGTACAGGATGGGGCTGATCCAGACTGCAGACCAGCTCCGCTTCTCCTACTTAGCTGTTATTGAAGGGGCAAAATTCATCATGGGAGATGCTTCAGTGCAAGTGAGTGCTCCTGGCAGCTCCAGAGAGCTGCAGCAAGTGGGTGGGAGGAGCAGGATGGAAAGAAGCTTCAAATTTGGTGCTTGCTTCAGCTTCAGTACATGTTTATATTATGGGGTTTTTAGGTACAGTGCTTTACAATCTGTCATGACCTAAAATGCTGTATTTTAATGATTTCCAAAATACCTGCTCTGTAGCAGCTGCCTCCTGTGCTTTCCTGCACAGTGACTGGGGTGGAGCTGCTGCATCAGCCTCCCCTGGCATTTCAGACAGTACAAGTTTTCTAATATGCCTGAAATTTAAGTGTCATGATTAAATTCATCAGGGGTTTTTATGGTAAGCAGAGCTCTAGCAAAATAGATTTTATTTTGTGCTTGAGGTTTTTAGAAGCAGATTGGAATTTCTCACTTACATGGCCAATATGTTTTGTGTAATGGACGCAGCTTGGGCTTGGAGTTCTTGTGCCTGTTTTTTCTTTCTTTTTTTTCAATGCAAATGAAGAGCCACTGTAAAGAGTTAATTGAAAGGTAGAGTATAAAGATTCTGCCATGGTAAAGTTTAAAGTTAGAGCAGCTTGAAAGAGAAAAGCTTAACAGGGTTTGTCCTTCCCTAAAGGAGCAGTGGAAAGAGCTCTCCAACGAAGACCTGGAGCCACCCCCTGAGCACACCCCCCCACCTCCCAGGCCCCCGAAGAGAACCTCAGAGATGCACAACGGGAGGATGCACGAGCACCCCGAGTTCCTGGCCAAGCCCCAGGCTGGAGAGGAGCAGATCAGGTGCTCGGTGAGCAGCGTGGAGGAGGCGGCTCCGGCCCCCAGCACAGACAGGTAACCCTGCCTCGCTGCTGCCCCGGGCAGCTCTGCAGCCACAGCCTCGGGCAGGGAGGGACCAGGGGAGGAGATGCTCACTTCCACCCTGAGATGCTCTCTGGGAGTCAGGGCTGAAGGAGCAGCCACATTCCTCCCTTTCTGGCTTTCTGGGCAGGTGCTTGAGTTTAGAGCTTTGGTGTTTCCCTGAGCCAGCTGCGGGTGTGAGCTGGGTTCGTTCACTGCCTGTCTTGGTGCAGATTTGTGATGAGCAGTGAAAGCAGGTGGTGGGTAAAGCTTATTCTTTAAAGGGCACAGAATCCTCCCAAGCTCTTCCTAACCTCTGCTGAGCAGCCAATGTGTCCTAACTGGAGACAGGCTGTGCTTGGGTGGCTGCTGCAGCTCCAAGAGCTTTGCAGCTCTGTGCTGGTCCCTGCCCTCGGAGCACCCGCATGGCTTCTGTCTCCATGGCCAGTCCAGCAAGGAATACTCGTCCCTACCCAGCCCTGAGTGTCCCTCCCTCTGTCCTCAGCACTAGTCACGGCACTGAAGCCCGGAGGAGGACGGCTGGGGAGAACCCGCGGCTCTCGCCCCGCAAGGAGGAGTCGCCGAAGGAGAGCCCGGAGGAGGAGGACGAGAACGTGGTGGCGACCTGGAAGCCCTTCCTCGTGAATATCTGCATGTTCACCTTCCTCACGGCAGGAGCTTATCTCTGCTACAGGGTGTGTTTCCACTGACCCTGGGCCGAGCTGCCGCGGGAGCGCCGCTCCCGGCCCGCGCCCAGCTCCTCGGAGCCCCCGGCAGGGCAGCCGTGGCTCAGAGCAGGTAGATTAGGGGAAAGGCCAGAACTTTGGGTAGGGCTTCATGAGAGAATTGATGCACTAGGGTTTTATCCAGCCCTGTGGTCCCAAGAACATAATATTGTAATCTCAGGGCCTTGAAATATTCAGGAGTAAGCAGAGAAAATGCCAAATAGTCTGTTTTCCTTTTTTTTTTGTTTGTTTTTTTAACTAAATAATAGAATTACAACACATTGTTGTTTTTAGCCTTTTTTAAAAAGCCAGTTCATTTTCTTTTGTTTCAGAAAAACTAGGCACAAGTGAAACTTGCTTGTACTCTCCAAGTGTTGTAACCAAATACATGACTTACATTGACAAGTTCCCAAAAAAAGAAAAAGAAACCCACATACCTGAAGAATGTAAACTTTTGGAAGGGGAGGTGTGTTTGTGGTTGGTTTTTGGTTGTTTTTTTGTCTTTTTTTAAATTTGCTTCATCTTTAAAGACTGAGTTGTGGGCAGTGCCTGTGGTATTGATATATTTAATCTCAGCATAACTGTTCTTAAAGAGCTGATTGTTTTACTTGTGTTGATAGAACCAGGCTTCTGCATTTGCTCAGGGTATCCCAACACGTCCAGCTCTTTGATTTTTTTTCTTTTTTTTTCTTTACTAAGTGTATCTCCTCATTGACTTTTGTTGCACTCTACTTGCACATATGCCTCTTTACATTGCACCATCCTTTCTAAAGCTGTTTTTACTTTTATATTCTGGGTTGGGAGATGTCGAGGGGAGGGAGAGAAACAGGAAAGGGAAATTCAACCAAACCACGTCCACCAGCAGTGGGGCCGTGCCCGTGGCAGGACCAGTCCTTAAACCTCAGCATTTGGAATGTAAAATGCAGTTTCACTCTGCAGCTGCTCCCTCAGGAGGGTTGGGCTGTGTGGGGAGGACTGGCACTGGCAGGCAGCACTGCACCAAGCAGCCAGTGCTGCTCCTCGGGGTAATACCAAATTACTGACAGTTTCAACAATAATAGCAAAGATTTCTTTGCTTGTGTCGTGGTGCAGAGGACAGGAGCAGAGTCACTCCTGGGAGCTGTGGTGATTGAACTGCCCCATGACAGCTGATCTGCAGCAGTGTTACTGATTTGTTTTATTTCTAAAGTCCTTCTAGATTGATAGCACTTAGCCACCCTCAGTGCAGCCCTCGCTGTGGAGGAGCCCAGGGCAGCCCCTCCACTCCCTATTTATTTTTGCCAAGCTGGCTGTAGGTGTAGCTCTTCCCTCAGTGGGTGAGTAGGTGAAGGGGTGGGTGGGGGTGGGAGTTACTTCTGTTCTGTGTTTTGTTGAGCTTGCATCAAGGGCTTTTCAAGAGTACAATAATAAATCCTCAGGTAGTACTGGGAATCGATCCTTTACCTGTGAGACTGTTGGTCAGACCAGTACTTGAAAGGAGGAATGTTGTAATCAGTCGATATTTAGTTATATTATTGGAAACAGGAAAAATGAGTATAGAAAAATGGTAATATATAATGGCTCATCTGTGTATTTAAGATCCATTCTGTGATTGCTTTGTCCCCACTGTTCTCTGCAGCGTGGGCAGGACCCTGCCCTGAGGCACCATCCGTACCCCTTTGTATTAAAGTGCATGTGAAGTCTGCGGTGTCCCGATGAAACACCACGTGCTTGAAAGGTGACAGAACTTCTATTCCTGCTTCCTGATGTGCCCAAATGATATTTGCATGACCTGATCCTTAGTGGCTGTGGTTCAGAGGGTGCTGCTGAGTCTCTCTGTTCAGCACTGGACCGATTGGTGTTTATCAGAGCCCGTGTACTCGCCTAATCCTTGGCATGACTTCCCGTGGGATCCCGTGTGCTCCGTGTGCCCGGTGGTAGCATGTTCCTTTCAGCTGAGTGAGTGTAGTACAGACATTCCAGAGAGCTCAGGCAGCCCTGCCACACCTCCCCTGGCCCTGGGACACAAAACAGACCAAACCCACCTCTGACCACCTTCCCAAGAGGGAATATTTTCAATCCTAGGTCTGGCAGGAAATGAGATGATCCTTCCTTTGAATACAGTTATTCCATTGCAAATGATTCTACCCAAACAAAGTTCCTGCAGATGAGAGAAGAGCTTTGAGCATCCTCTTGGTGCTTGTTTCTTCCGTGTTCCAGGCTCTGACCCTGGCTGGGACGCAGTGACTGTGCCCAGAGCCCCGGGAGGTGTGGGCAGGGCTGGGAGTGCTGAGCTGTGCCCATTTCGTTTGCTGTCCTGTACTGTCTGTGGTAGTTGGGGGGTGTATATACCGTAGCACAGTGGGGTGTTGGGTAACCTGTTCTTGGAAATGGACAAACATCCATGTTAGACTCGTTAGAAAGTTAGTGAGCTGCTCTGCTATCTGCCTTAAGCAAATATTTACTCATCAGGTCTTTCTTTTTTACAGATTGCCATAGAATAAACTTTTATAAAAAAAAATGTAAAAACTCAACAAAAAAGCTGAATGTTTTGGTATAATACAGTTTCAGGTATCTTGTCTTTTGTGTAAGCCGCTGCTGGGCCTCCCAGGTTAGAGTACAACTGTACAGTTTTTCAATCTCCCATACAAGTTTTCAGTTCTCATTTTAGTTGTAACAATAAAACTCTTTTTTTAAAGAACTCACTTGAATGTGTCGCTGCTTCTGGGCTGGATCCATGGGCTCCTGCTTGACCCATGTGCACACGAGGGCTGGCAGAGGGTAGGTTTGCAGAGTGAAGGGATTTAAATGTTGCTGTAAGAATTTCCTGGAGGCAGACCTCCAGTGAAAGAGGATCCCCATCTCTCCCTGCCACCTCCATTTCCCTCTTTGATCTTTCAGGTTGAACAGGTTGAATTCAGGTTGAATTTTAAGGGTAAGAAGTGCAGGAGCTCAAGCACCTGGTTGGTTTCTGCAGGAACTGATGCTGACCCTGCTTGCAGCTGCACATCCTGGTGTTTGAATCCCAGTATTTACCTTTGGTTTATATTTTTAAGGAAACCTACAACTGGAGGAGAAAGTTCACCAAAGTGGAACAGGACAGGGCAGATAGGGCCCTGTTCCTTGGGGATTTAGTGCCTCTTACCTGTCCCCAGGGCTGCAAGCACAGCAGTAGGAAACACTCCCAGGAGTTTGTCTCAAATGGTTTATTAGAACTTTAGAAAACAGTATGAAATCCAACAAATAAATACCAAATAGAAAAGTTTTATGTGTATATATATATATATATATAAATATGTACACACAATCCCAACCCCTTTCAAGTATTGCACCTGAAGCCAGGCTGCTCCCCATGGGCACCCTGCCAGCCAGGGCTGGGGAATGAGCCCAGCCAGGGCTGGATCAGGAGGAGAAGTCTTGGTCTATGACTAAATTCAGAATTTAAAAATCAAACCTGTCCCTCCCTCAGTCAGACCTGCACATGGCAAATCCCCTGCAGCTGAGCACACACCTCTTACAGAGCCTGTCAGGCCCTGCTGGCCCTGGCTGAGCTGCAGCAATTACAAAGTGACTTGGGGACTACCAGGTTTTCCTTCTGCAGCTCAATTGCCCAAGCAAACGAAACCACCAAGCAGTGGTGCTGGATTTGTTCTACTGACAGGGCAGTTGGTCTGGGAGAGTGATCATTTCTCTCCTTGGAGAATGCCAAATTAATACATCACTTCCTGGGAAAACAGATCAGATTGGACAGAATTGGAGCAGGGGCAGCTAATTCCAGCAAGATGGAGATTTGAACTCCAGTTAAGACCTGGATCCACATTCTGAGAAATCCCAGTTTTCATTTGTCCAGCACTTGATATTTCATCATGTGCTGAGAGACAGAAAATACATTCCAGGCTGCATCATGGAGGTGACCAACTGTCCCCTTTGAAAATAAACCTGTCCTGGGGCAGGAGAGAGCAGGGACAGGACAGGACAGAAGGAAGCCAGACAAAACCAAACCCTCAGGTACCCGTGTGGCTGTGAGGACAACAGGATCCAGCTCCTCACATTCCACTACTAAAACACTGTGATTTCAATCTCGGCCTCCTGAGCTGTTTCTCTCAGCTCACAGCAGATCCTGTCCATCTTCTCAAAGGCTTGTCGGCCCCGTTCCCCTGTGGAGAGAGAAAACAGCCCCTGCTGAGGGACAGGCAGAGCACCCCGAGCCCTCTGGGGACACTCCTGTCACAGCCTGGCTTGGGAGGAAGGACTCAAGAGTGACCAACACATCCTCAGGGAAAACCTGCTGGAAGCCACCATGGAAAACCAGCCCTCCTGCATTCCATGAGTAACAGCTGGAGCATCACAGCTGGAGAGTCTCATGTGAGCCTGAGTGTTCTGTGGGGCAAGGCTGGAGATGCCCAGGACTAAACCTGGCTCAAAGTGGGGGATGAAGAACAGAACGGGGAGGTGGCTGTCTCCTGCATGCCCTGGCCATGCTCTGGCAGCACTCCAGCTGTTGAGCCCCCAGGAAAAGCACAAATGCTGGGCAGCCGGAGGTGGGGAGCACTGACATTTTATCAGGCCCCCTCCACCATCAGTCACTTGTCACTTAGATTCTGGTGAAGTAACAAGTAATGAAGCAGAATAAAACTGTCATCCTTATCTACAACCTTTTCAAAAGGTCCAGTGGTTCCTAAAGCACTTAATCCTTCAGGATCCCCTTGGTCTGGTTCTATAAACTTGATCAGGGGCCCTTGGCTGTTACGTGTGATGTAAAGTTTATCTTCATGGTATGAAACAGCTGTTCATCAAATATTTCCATTGTCCTGGATGTGTTCAGGCTGAACTTGAGGCCCCTCCTGGGCCTGCACTATTTCACATCCCTCTTTCAGACTATTTTAAAGCTGTACAAAAGCCTTACCAAAGGACAGTGTGGTTTCCCTGGCTGCATTCCTGACTTCCTCTGTTTCAGACTGGCACAGGTGGGCAACCTGCTCAATGCTCTCCACAGCCTGTTGGAAAAAAGAAGAATTTGCCTAAGGAGCTTTTCAGCAGTTTGGTGGACATTTTCTACAAAGCAAACACAGAAACAAACTCCCATCTCTGACATCCAAATTCCACCGGGACCTTTATCTTCCCCAACATACTGGGTTACAGTTAAATTCCCTGATATGATCTCACCTCTGTTACCTTCTCTCCTGTTTTAGGGCATCAGAAACTGTAAAAGTTCCAGGGTACAGGTCACAACTGTGGGACCATTAAATCAGTACCACCTAACTAGGACCCTCACTGAAAGGGTTGATCCCAGCTGGTGCTTTGCAAACCGACCCTGATTTGCTATTGTGTGAGCACCTGTTTGCAGATACTGGTTCACATTTTGTGTACAAACCCATTACAGCAGCTTAGAGCTCTTGGGAATGCTTAAATCTGCGCTGTTCCTTATGACAGCAATGCAAATATTACTTTTGTTTTCTGACTTTAATCAACTATTGTTAAAAATATCCCCTGATTTAACTTCAGCTTTCTAGAGGTAAATGTTTAGAACTGACTGATACAGGAACATTGCTGGTTTATCCTCGTGCTGGATGTCCCCAGTCGGACACTGTCCTGCAGCACTGAGCATCCCAGGAGGTCACACATCCCTGGCAGGTCAGGCACTGCCAGCTGCCCTCGGCTCCCTCTCCCGCCGCCCTGGGAATGCTGGCATTCACACTTTGGCAGCCAAAATCGGGCAGTTCCCGGCTGCAGTAACCCAGCCCGACACGTTTGATCCCGGCTTGGGGCAGAGCAGCAGAGCCCAGCGCTCACCCTGAGGTTCTTCAGAGCCAGGCACGCAGCCTGCTGCAGCCTGGCGTCACAGCCGGACAAAGCATCGCTGTAAAACAGGACAGCCTGCACAAAACACAGCAAAGCGAAACGTCGGACGAGTCCTCGAGCAACCAAACCCGATCCTAGCGACCGCGGCGGGGCTATTACCCCGTGAGACGAGCCGCGGTGGCGAGCGCTGCGGCGCCGCTGCCTCCGGCTGGAACACGGCGAGGAGCGCCCGGGGCAGCGCCCGCCGGCCCCGGGGCAGCGCCCGCCGGCCCCGGGGCAGCGCCCGCCGGCCCCGGGGCAGCGCCCGCCGGCCCCGGGCAGCGCCCGCCGCCGGCCCCCTGCTCCCCCAGCTCCGTCTGTCCCCCCATTCCCCGGTGTACCCCCCCATTCCCCGGTGTCCCCCGCCGTGTCCCCCCGCATTCCCCCCTCGTTCCCCGCACTCACCCGTGCCCGGAGGCTGCCGCAGCCGCCGGCCCGGGCCAGGCAGGCCGTGGCCGCTTTGCCCACCCGGTGGTTCTCGTCCAGCTGCAGCAGCCCGAGCAGGCGCAGCGTGCGCGGCAGCGGCTGCAGCCGGCCCAGCCGCTTCCCCTTCAGCCTCTTCAGCGTCTTCAGCCTGCCGGGGCACTGCAGCTCCTCGATCAGCATCACTGCCGGGGAAGGAGCGGCCTCGCTCACCGCGGGCAGAGCCCCGGCCAGGGACACAGCCCGGTGCCCCCTGTCCCAGCCCGCTGCCCTCTCCCTGTCCCAGCCCGGTGCCCCCTGTCCCAGCCCGCTGCCCTCTCCCTGTCCCAGCCCGGTGCCCGCTCCCTGTCCCAGCCCGGTGCCCCCTGTCCCAGCCCGCTGCCCGCTCCCTGTCCCAGCCCGCTGCCCCCTGTCCCTGTCCCAGCCCCCTGCCCTCTCCCTGTCCCAGCCCCCTCCCTGTCCCAGCCCCCTGCCCTCTCCCTGTCCCAGCCCGCTGCCCCCTGTCCCAGCCCGGTGCCCTCTCCCTGTCCCAGCCCGGTGCCCGCTCCCGGCAGGAACAGCCCGAGCGGGGCAGGACAGCCCTCTGCCCGCCCTGCCCCTGTCCCGTGCCAGGCTGGGACAGCAGAGCAGTGCTCAAGCACCCAGCCCCTCCACGAGTCCTCTGCATCAGCACCAGCCTGAAGATGTGGCCAATGGCTGGACTATTCTTAAATAATTCTTTCCTGATACAGAGAAAGTTTTGGAGTACTTTTGATATGTTGGACAAGAGTCCAGTGAGGCACTGGCTACCTCAGTCTACAAAATGCAGGTCAGTAACCTCTGCAATGTTACTGTTCTTTTCTGTGTCCGAGTCCAGCTACAGCAGTGAACCCAAGCCACACACTGTGCTCGGTCCTTGGATCCAGCTGGAGGCTGCTCCTGACTCAGTGTCTGCTTTAGCTTTGGAATATCCCAGAACCTATTTTCAGGGCACTTAAGCCCATCCTTCACACGGGGTTTGTTTGCACACGCTCAGATACGGGAGTCAAGCACGCTTTTCCTGTTCTGATTAAAACTACATGGTCATAAGGGGAATAAAAATGGAAACAAGCTGTCAGTGCAAGGGCTGGGCTGTTTCCTGCTCTGGAGCCTGGACGGCAGCAGCCCTGCAGGAGGAGCCGAGCACTGCCTTTACCTTCTTTAGCGAGTTTTGCCAGGTGTTTCTCCAGGCTGCCGATGTGGTGCCTCTCCAGGTAACGATAGAACTGGAACAGAGTAACTGGCTCCGTTTGGAAATGCGAGGAGGGGAGCAACCCATCACAGGTGAGGATCTGCTCCAGCAGCCGCTGCAGCACTGCAGGGAGCAGGACAAACACAAAACACACAGGCTGCTCACGGGGAAGCTGCTGAAAGGTTTGGGGTTGGGGTTTTTAAATGCACAAGGACCATTTGCAGCACTGCTCTGGAATGAAGTGTGGCCCGGTGCTCACTGGTACCTGTCTCCAGGTGGCTGGGGTACTTCTCCTTCACTTTGAGCATCATTGTGTATTTCAGAGCATGACGGAACCTTTCTGCCGAGGTCACCAAGATGCTGCTGCCAGGCTCTGCGAGATCACTCCAGATTTTCAGATATTGCTTCTTCTTTTTAGTCTTCTGAATAACTGAAACCCAGCATTTTAAAAGGTCAGCGAGCTCTAGCAGATTTGGGGTTTTAGATGAGAAATTAGGCAGCAGATGGGCTATCTGGACATGGGGTAGCACTAACTTGTATTTGCATTAGAGATGGTTTTGTTAAAAACGGGACATTTGTCTCCCAAATGTTCACACTCTCAAGCACTGAGCTTGCCATCAGCAGCTCTTCTGCCTCTTATTGTTCCCTTTATCTCTGAGTCAGTTCCAGAAGAACATTCTGGAAGTTTCAGGGGCCGCCCTTCTGTCAGCCAAGGAGGTGCCACTGGCAAGGGTTTTTGGGATCCTCCTCTGCTCCTTGCCCAGGGCAGAGCTCTGACCTCGGGGCTCTCTCAGGCTCTTCACAATGGCACGTGCAGCTCTTCAGGAACCCTGTGGCTCCTCATTTGGACCCTCCATCCCCCAGTTTTACCTCCAGACACTGAGCTCCTGCCTTTCAGACTCCCACACTTCCCATCACACTGTACCAGCCCCCTGCAGCCCTGCTCCAGGGAACAGTTTATTCCCACATCCTCCAGGAGAGAATCTGGCAGCAAATGCTTCCAACTAAAATTTGCATTCTTGCTGCTCTATTTACTGTTTACCAGGAAGAGAACAAAAGCCTTCCAAGCCTCTCATTGTGCTTTATCATTTTGTCATGTCCAACTGCCAATGGAAGAATTTAATAGTGGGGAGACCCGAGATAAAATTCTGTGCCCACCAAACTGTTCTGGCAAGTGGGCACAGAATTTGGGCTGTTTGCTTACCAAGAAAAAGCACAGATATAAAAGAGGATTTTATTAAGGCTGCTCTTTGACTGCAAACTGCACCACCTGCAACATCCCTGTTTAAGATATACCAGTTCAGCTACTCTAAGACCAACTTCTCCAATATTTTTCCTTCTATGTAGAAGAAAAGATTAACCAAAGAATGAGCCCTGGTTTTATGATGAGCTGGTTTGATGATGTCAACGTTTGCAAGGAATTTAGAATGAAAGCCCTGGCTCGGGGGAGGCTTGGGCAGGCCCATCAGGAGTGCAGCTCTCCCACTTCTGCACCTCTGCATGCCCTGGGGTAAGGCAGGTACTCACTTTTCTCCACAGACAGATCCAGGACATCCCCCAGGACTCGTGTCTGCTCTGACACCTCTTCCAAAATGCTCTCCTGGACCACCTGGGCTATGTTTGGTGTCCTCAGTTTCTGAAATGCAACAGACATAACTCAGGAGCTGAAACAAGGGCAGGATCAAGCTCCAGATAAATGAGGATTGGTCCAACTTTTAAGACAAGTGAAAAATCTTCAGCTGCTCCCAGAAGGCCCCTTGCCCACCAGACACCTGCTCCCTGTTGTAGCAGTTTTTCATTCATTAAAATGGCCCAAGCCAAGCCTGTGTGTTTGCAGCCTGATCTGGGCACAGAGCTGTTGCTTAAAGCAAAACCCAGAGGCTGGGAAGAGGCAGCAGAGTTTTGTGTGACATGTTCTGTGTGGACACACGTGTTCACTGCATTAATGCACCAATTTCCACTCTGAGTCTCCCTGCTGTTATCAATCAAACAAAACACAGCAAATTCTCCTGTAATCAGCACGAGCAGTGGCAGGCAGTGCCTGGAAAGCCCCAGGCTGCTCTGTACCTGCAGGAGACCTTTGCACAGCCTCAGGTGTGTCAGCAGCAGCACGTCTAGGTTGTCATCCCCTGTAGTTACATCCCGTGCTTCTGGTCTCGTGTCACAGCTCAGGGACTGGAGCACGTTGTCATTGTATGTGCTGGTGAGATGAGGGGAAAAGAGAGTTACAGCCTCATCACTAAACAGAACGGAGATGGACAGTCCCAGCAGGAGCTGTGAAAGAAACCAGGTGGCATTGAACAGAAACCAGCATTTTCTTTAACTGCCCTTATAACCCTCTCTGAAAATGTGGACAGGCATTTCTGTGCTGGATTTGACACCCCAGCTGTTTCCCAGCCCAGAGAAGCTGCTCTGGGACCCCTCTGCCTGTGCCACGAGGTGCTGCAGCACATACCTGACACTGCCTGTCCTCACACTCCCAAACAGGGACAGCTCATCAGCACTGCAGTCAGCGTTCAGGAAATCAAAACTCTCCAGCACTGTCTCCACCATCAGACTCTCCATAGAGGAATGTTTGTGCAGTGTCTTCAGCTGTTGATGAAGTAGAAGCAGAAATACTGTTGTGTGTAGTTGGCCAGCCATTTTGCAGTTGCTCTTTGCTGGTTTTGAAATCATTCCTAATAATAAATCACTTTGCTTTTCTGATTTCACTGTTAACACATCAGGGAAGTCAGTGCATTGCTACTTGCACATCAGTGCAGTGCTGCTTGGCAGGGTCTGTGCTTCATCCAGGCAGGGATGAGCCAGGTACAGCCCCAGAGCAATCTGCTGTGGTCTGCAGGGTTTGTCAAGTGCTGCTCCAAAGTGCTCCTGGTGCAGCAATCTGACCCCAAAATAATGTAGCTAGTTAAATTCAAAGCATGTTTCAATATTTTAATCCCTGTGGATTCCCCTTTATCTCCATGCCTGGTGAGAGCTGATATTCTCTGCATCCTCTGTCACTGACACAGTTTTCACTCATTCCCTGTATCTGAGCTCAAAGCAGCAGCCTTGGGGGCCTGTTCCATCCCAGCACAGCACCCAGGAGCTTCATATCAACACTGAATTTCATGGAGCCACTACCTTTGTCCCCCTTGGAAAGGCTGCTCTGAGGCTACTTGGTTTGGGTGTTAAATGCTGTTTTTCCAGAGGTTTCACAGGAGCAGGAGGCCAGGGCAGTTCTGTTTCTTACTCCAGCCTGGATCCTTCCTGCTCCCAGCCCTGCAGCCCAGCCCTGGCTGCTCTCCTCCAGGGGAAGGAGCGTGCCCAGCCCCTGGCAGCCAGGCAGGAGCAGGGCAGTGGCACAGAGCAGCCTCTGCTCGGCTCTGCAGCCACCCTGAGCTGCAGCACAGGGCTCAGAGCCAGCCCAGACACCGAGAGCAGACCCCAGCCGGGCTCTGCTCAGCCCGGGCTCCCACCGGGGCTGCCTTTGCTCCCCGAGTCCCGCCCAGCCTCTGCTGGCCAAAATCCAGGGCTCCCTGTCCCCTGTGGGATTTCCCTGACCTTTCTGGGGTCTCCTTGTCCCTTTGGGGTGTCCCTGTCCCTTTTAGGGCCTCCTGGACCCGTTTGGGGTGTCCCTGTCCCTTTTTAGGATATCCCTGTCCTGTTTCAGGTTTCCCTGACCAAGCCACCACCACAGTGACCCGAACCCACAGAAGGGCAGAGCCACATGCCGGCTGCCACGAGACCCCATAGCGAGACCCCTCAGTGACCCTGCAGTGAGACCCCTCAGTGAGACCCCCCTACCTTCAGCTTGTCCCTCAGACACGCGACCTGGCCCTGCAGGCGCTGCAGCTGGGCTGGCCCCCCGTGCTGCGGCTGCAGCAGGCGCAGCAGCTCCTGCAGAGCCCCGTCCATGGGCCTCGCGCCGCCCCAGCTTTCCTGGCTGCTGGTCTCCTGCTCGGCCACGCGCCCACCCCGGGCCTGGCGACGGGGGGCAAGGCTGGAGGGGCTCCGTGGGAATCCATCCCCACACGGGGTCTTCTTCAGGATGTCCAGCGTGCTGTGGTCCGGGAGCGGATGCTGCGGCCCTTCTGCTCCGCTCTCTTGGATGATCACCAGCGGCGGCATCCTGTGGTCCGGGGCTGGGGTCGTACTTCTGGATTCCGCCCCTTTCTGATCCTCGGAGCTGAACGAGTCTCCCTCGCTGGTCTCCGCGGGGTTGTGGGGCTTGTTCCTCGCAGGGACGTCGAAGTCGCAGGCAGCCAAGTAGCTCAGGATGCTGGGAGGCTGGGCTTCCTCCCCTCCATCCCCCGGGCTCTGCCTCTGCTGCAAAACAGACTGCAAGGAGATGCCCGGGTGAGCCTGGAGCCACTGCAAAGCCCGAGGTCCCTCCTGGGAGAGGGGACTCTGCTTCCCTGGATCCCACCAAGACTCCTGCAGCACACACCCACACCCCTGCCGCCCCAGCTGCTGAGCAGAGTTTTGTTGAGGGCTTTTTAAAACGCTTTACAAAATCTAAAATAGAACTTAAAAGAAAAGGGGTTAAAAGAAAAATTTAAAGAAGCCCCAGATAAACAGTAAAGGTGCCAGAGTGCTGTTTCACATTTCTGAGTGTGCTCCCGAGCAGCCTGATCCAGCCCAAAAGCCAAGCCCCGGGGCTGTGCTTTGCCTCTTGCTCTCCCCAGGTACTCACCAGGTAATACCTCTCTCTGAAGCTGGGCGTGTTTGGGGGGGTCCAGTTGTACAGCGAGCTCTTCCTGCTCCCCACAGAAAACTTGGCAGTGCTTCCAGGAGACAGAAACAGGCTCTCTGTGTCAAAGGGGCTGCAGCAGGAAAAGTGCCAGTGAGAGCAGAGAGCACAGAGGTGTCGGTGGGATTTGAACAGGGACGTTTAGTCAGCAACACACAGAATAAAACAAAACAGAAACTGCCTCTCTAGCCAGAATCTTTGATTGCTCCAGCAGAGAAAGACACAGGCAAAAAGGCTGTGGTTTGTACACGGATTTCTCAGCACCCTTTGGACAGAAACCTGTGCCAGAGCCTTTGGAAGAGGAGCCCAGTGGGCCCAGAGGCAGGAGTGTCCCCCTGCCACCGCTGCTGGCCCAGGCACTGACACAGCCCCAGAACCAGAGAGGAAGGAAACACAACACATGTAATAAAGAGAACTGCCAGCTTCCCTCCTGCAGAGCACACACCACCTGGAAAAACCAATAAAAGCCCTCATTATCCTTCAGCTATTAATCAACAACTCCTCTGGCTGGCAGGGGAAGCCTGTGCAGTGCTCCTGGGCAGGGATGAGCCAGGCACAGCCCCAGAGCAATCTGGCTGTGGTCTGCAGGGCTCCTCAAGTGCTGCTCCAAAGACTTCCCAATTACCTACTCCATCTCAGCCCTTGGCTTCTCAGCTCCTTTGCAAAGCAGTGTGCAAAGAAACTCGTACCAATAATCCCCTGGGATGCCACTCAGCTAACCAGGAGACAGAAAACACATTTCAAGTTAAGTAAAGCAAGATTGGTTTCTATATGTGGGGGGTTTTTTGTTGCTTACTGAGATGCCTCGTGGCACCAAAAGAAAGTCTGTTTTCCCACTTGAGCACTGGCATTTTGAAAAACGTGAATTGTTTGTAACAAGCCTGCAGCCTCAGTGATTGAATGTAACAACCAAAGAGCAGGATAAAACCAGCTGAAAAAAATATAACAACCAAAGAGCAGGATAAAATTCAGCTATACATTGCAGGAGATGCAAGGACTAATCAATTGCAGGGAAATGAATTTCTGCTCTCTAGCAAAAGTTGAAAAGCAGAGTCCCACCCCTCTCTGGCGTCTCAGGCTGCATGGGACAGCCCTGCAGAGCATCCTGCAGTGCAGCCCTGTGCTCCTGAGCGCAGGGAATGCTCTGGCACCCCCCAGCCCAGGTGAATGGGCTGAAGCAGGCAGGGGCAGCCAGCTGGGCTCCATCAGCCCTGCTCCTCAGAGCCACGGGAAACCCATCTGCACCGGCTCACAGGCAGAAATAAATCGCCTTTCTGACAGCACCAGCCCTTCAGCCAAAGCCTGCTGTGTTTGCTAACGAAGCAAATTACTCCTGCCATGGCACTCTTAACAAAAGTCACAGGGATCCGTTCCCCAGATCTTTCATGTTTAGCTTTTAATACAGGGATGCAGTAATGCAAAATGACACTTCCAGGAGAGGAACAAGAACACACAAAATCTGCTCTGCCCCTTTGACAATCCCTAAAAGCCTCCAGCAAAACGCAGCTCTTCAGCTGGCTGCAGGCAAGCACCAGCTCCTGGTCCTGCAGCAGTGACAGAGAGAGCAGAGGGGGACAGCAAGAGCAGGCTCTGCTCTGGAGCTCCTGTTACCTCTGGGCTCCTTGGGCATGACCCATCGCCTCCCTCCACATTCCTCCAGCAAACAAACCCTCAGCCTAGGGCAGCCCCGTGAATCCATCTCCCCCAGCCCTCCGGCACAGGCAGAGCCAGCAGGGAATATCCCAGGGAGAGCCAGAGGAGCAGCCAGATGGAGTGGGCTTTCCCCAGACACCAGCCGCAGCCCATGGCTGGGATCCCTCATGCAGCAGACTTTGCAAGCAGACTATTGTCTTCAATTGTCACTGGCTTTTCCTCAGTTTGTTCAGTCACTTCCTGAAATCATTGACATAAAACCTCTGCATAGGTAAAAGCTGTGCAGGAATGTCGTTGTTTAACCTTAAATTGTGGAGCAAGTACTTTGATGGGAGGTGGGGGTGGCTGTAGCTGCACTGAGAGAAAGAGTGGCTCCACATTTCCTGTCCACATTTCCCAGCCAACATCCACATGCCTGCACAGGATTATCCAGCAACAGCTTTTCAGGACTGAAAAACTACTAAAAAAAACCAACTCTAAAGTGACCCACAAGTGTGATCATCTTTGCTGTCGCCGTTCTGTGCCCCAGCCACTCCCCTCCCCTCCAGCCAGTCCATGGATTCAATTCAGACCAGAAGTGTGGACAGAATCCCTGCCTGAGTCCCACTGCTCAGCCTGTGAATCCAGGCTTACATTAACACCCCAAAAAAGCCAATTCTAGTCAAGGAGACTGGACTTGCTGTTAATAATGAGATTTTTCTTTCCCCCATTAAGCCCTGGGGGAAATGCCCTGGAATTCAGCAGGGAGGTGGTTGTTGGCTCCCAGCACCAGTCTCAGATTATCCAGCTCGGCCCAGCAGAGCTGGGAGAGCAGGGATGGGGCAGTGCCTGAAGGTCCTGCAGGAGGAACTGCATCTGTAAGAGCAACACTGACAGTGGGTTTGCATCCCAAAATCACAGCCAGACCTTCCTTTTCCACTCTCCATTAAGGTTTTGTCCCCCTGCTGCAGGAAGCCTGGCGAGCCAGGCCAGCACTGCTCCAAGCAGAGCCACCAGAGTGGTTGTGACTGGATGGTGCCCCCGGGTCCCAGTGCAGGGCACTCCTGGAGCTCTGAAAGGAGAATACAGCTCTCTCTTTATCCTGCATGTGAGACACAGAACTCAGACTGCTGTTTAGGTTGGCAAAGAACCCAAAGCCTTTTGCCAAACTGGCCAACAAAGCCGTTCTGCAACGGCCCGAGCTCATTCACACTCCTCATGGCACAATCTAAAAAGGAGCTGAAGGCACTTTTTGTTTCAGCCCAGAAGACCAGAGGTCTATTTAAAGAAAATGTACATTTAGAAGCAGAAGAGAGATCTACATTTGGATTTCTCCAAAAGCAGGTCTAGACTGAAAAATTGCCTCTCGGGGAACTTCGAGTAAATCAGATGGATTTGTTTAGTTACTCTTAAATCAGAGGAAAAAGCAGATGTTATTATGAGTGCTCTATCTCTGAAAGCAGAAACACCCTGAGTTATCACCACACAGCTTCTCCCTTCTGTAAACAGCCCCAGCAAACAGAATGTCAGAGGGGAGAGGCCAGCTCTGCACTGAGGAGCTCTGGAGAATCCACTTGGTGGGACCCCAACACATCCCACAAAACTTAAACACAGCAGAGACACCGAGCCGGGGCTCTCACGCTGGGAAATTCCAAGGGGGGATTAACTCCCAAAGCCAAGGAGGCACCAGCAGCTCTCCCAGCTCCAGGGCTGTGATCTGGCCCCAGCCCCAGGGATGTGCTCCTCCTGCCAGCCCAAAGCTGCAGCCAGAGAGTGGCAGCAGGGCTGGGATGGAGCTCTCTGCCAAGCTCTGCCCCAAACACGACGTGCTCAGGAGATTCAGGTTAGGAGAGCTGTGCAATAGCCCAGAAGAGGAGGGGGCTCTCCCCATGCAGTTCTTTTGTAAGAGCAACTTGTGTGCACAAAGAAATCTGAAGTTCCTGACAGTGAGGACAGGAAGGGAGCAGATCCAGCAGTGGGAATGAAGGGCTCTGCTGGCAGTGCCACTGCTGGGGCCACAAGAAGAGAGAAGTGATTTCTTCCACACTGTAAACTCCATTTACTGTGGCCACTGTCAGACCTCAGGAGGAAAAAGCACCATAAACAGGGGCAGGCAAAACTCTGCCAAGGTGAGTTTATTTCTTATTGACTTCAAGCAATTTATGCTTGAAAATAATTTTCAGGTGCTATGGCTGAGACACATTTTCTTGTGCCCAAGAACACATTTTCTTGTGCCCACAGTTGTGGGTACAGTGTCAAGAACCACAGCCCACAAAAGGGACACCCAGAAAATGGCACTGGAGCAATAAAGCTTTTCCTTCCCCAGCCATGGAACCAGAGCTGTTTCTGATTTTCCTGCTGGGAGCCTGCACAGGTCACAGGGACCTTTTGGGGGGCTCCTGGCACCAAGGGGTGTTCAGAGGGCTGGGAGAGCCCAGGCTGCAGAGAGGCACAGGGCAGAGAGCCACTGGGCACCTCGCTGAGGGGCTGCTCTAATCCTGGACAAGGGCAAATGGAAACAGCCTCAAAAGCCTTGATTTGTGGCAGCTGGAGCTCCCCATGCGAGACACCAGTGCCACAAAGCAGAAATAACAGAACTACCTCAAAACCCTGTGCTCGGGAGTCTGGAGGGAGGAATAAGTGCCACTGCACCATCCACAATAGTGAGCATTTACTTTTAATACCATCAGTAGTCCACTACAAAAATCAAACTACAGATATAAAATATAAAACAATTTAACAGATTCCAGGCACGGTGACAATGCTCAGCTGTTTAAAAAACATCTGTGAGCAACTTCCCTGGAGTGCACGAGCAGCCTTGTATTCCTAACTACTCACAGTGCTCATACAAAGGTGCCAAGCCTTTGGAAAACTGCTTTTTAACAGTCATATCTCGGTAACAGTGACTGTCCTAAATCTTCAGCTATGTATTTATTTCATTGTGCCCAGAAACTGCTACTTTCAGTTTCATTTCATCACCCTCAGGACATTTTCTGTGCTCTGCAGACACACACACACGGCCTGGAGGCCACGGAGAGCTCCTGGTGAGCAGCAGAGCCAAGCCCGGCCATGCCGGGGTGCCACGGCTGTGGTGGCACAGAGGAAGAGCTGGAAGGTCACAGGAGCAGCTTGTGTGCCCTGCCCTGCCCGCTGCCAGTGCCAGCTGCTGCCCGGGGCTGGCTGCGAGGCAGCACGGGGCTGGTCTGTGCCCTGCTCTCGGAGAGAAAGGGGACAGGATGCTGACACAGCTCAGGGCACACGGGAGCCCTGCACTGCTCCCCATCGTGTGCTTGGGGCTGCACTTACTTCCAGAGCACCTCCAGGCGCAGCTTGATGGTGCCCAGCTCGGTGATGTCCACCACGATGGCCTGGGGCTTGGTGCTGAAGAAGCTGATGCTGTCACACGTCACCACCCCCACCAGGACCGTGGCCAGGCCTC